GACAGTTTGGCTTCACGTGACCTGTCTCATCGCAGAAGAAACAGGTCAAAGCTGGCCGCCCACCACCATTGCCATGACTTCTGCTGCTGCCAGAACTCCGGTTTGCGGGACAATTGCGGGAAATATGTCCAGCCTGATTACAACGAAAACATAAAACATTCCGGCTGCGTTGGGAGCTAGCAGCCGCAGCGCCAACCGGCTCTTTCGGACGAGATGTACCCTCCGCGCTCCGCAAGCGACGGACATACTCAATACAGTCAGATACAGACTCCATGGAACAATTTATTCGCAACTGGCGTTGAAACTCCCAGGGCAAACCAGCAACGAACTGCTCGATGACTACACGGTCTTTGCCGTCACTCGCGACTTTCTGGCCAGCACCAACTAGCAGTTTCTTCAAGTCTGCAGCGTACCCCTCGACGCTCTCATCGGTCCGCAACGTGCGGGCACGAAATTTCTGGAAAGACGCAGCAGGCGTCGTACTGAATGCACTTTTCAAAGTTGCTTTCACCGCATCCGGGTCAGCTTTGTCGGTTGACGAAAGCTCGTCCCACACCAGGTAGGCCTCGTTCTCCAGAAACAACGGTAAATTGTTCATCTTGTCTGTGCTCGAACTCCACTGCTGGAGGTTCGCTAATACTAAAAACTTAGACCAGAAGGCCTCGAAATCATCGCCACTACCACGATAGGGTTTCACAAACGCCTCGATACGCCTGGACATTCTCACAGGGTTTCGGTACCACCTTGTTATCTAAACCTTCCCAGGCACTCAGTCATGCACCCCGTGCACACCGTCACACAAAAGATCACAGCCTTTTCAGATAAGGAACAAATTATGCATGGTTGAAAGGAGAGAGAAAATGAGAGAGACGCGAGAGAGAACTGGCTGCGCCAAGAAGAGCGAATGCAAAACCGCTGTCCCTGGCAAAACGTGCGCGTACAAGTGCAGCACAAACGAGACCAGCGTACTACACGCAACAAATAAGGGTAGCGGGACGCAACCTAAAACGATACCAGTCTTCCCAGAAAGGTGCGCTGCTGCGCACAGCCCGCGTATCCATGGAAAACATGGTGCAAAACAAATGCAGAAATGCAGAAGCAAAATAAATAAATAAATCAGAAATTCGAACGACAAACAGTAGTGAGCAGGACGAAGACAGAAAGATCAAAGTTGAGGAAAGAAAAGTGTTTGATCTGTCAGTGGGTGCTTGCACCCGATACGGGGTGACAGTAAACCCTGTCAGATAGTGACACATCGTAGAGTTATTCTGCAGAGGGACTTCACTGAGCAAGAATATAACAAACCACGTAAGTAACTCTAGCAAATCGTGAATAATAATTGTAAATGCATACACAATGTTATCATAAGTATTCGAACACCATAGTTCCCTTTCAGGAAGCAGTGCAGTGAGCCTGACTGCAAGTACCACCATCACGTGCTCCTGCACAAGGGCAAGGCCGCAGAGAAGCCAGTCGACACTTGTGGGCACACTGGTATTCCTGGTACAACCCGAGTGTTGCTGAGAGTGTTGCCAGTGACGGTTAGTGGCCCAAAGGGCTGTGTGGAGACACTTGCTCTGCTGGACGAAGCCTCAACTGTCACGCTAATGGACAAGGCCTTAGCGGATGACATAGGTGCTGTTGGACAGTCGGATCCCCTGCATATGGCATGGACGAATTCGACGACGCACACGGACAACTCGTCATGCAGAGTCTCTGTATTGGTCAATGGCAGCGATGGCACCCAGCATCAACTGGATGATGTGAGAACAGCCAAGGACCTCAAGTTGCATTCGCAGTCAATAGATGGCAGAGGGCTGGCGAGTCGATGGCCTCATTTAGATGACTCCAGAGTGGCGTCGTACCCAGCAGTACAACCGAGGACGCTCATTGGGCAAGACAACGGACACCTCACAGTGGCACGTGAAGTCGTCGAAGGCCCGCCAAATGCACCTATGCTGACGAGAACTCTTCTTGGTTGGGTAGTGCACGGTCGCATTGGAGCCCGGACTCACCAAGATCAACTCGAACCGGAGGCGATCTACCACATCTGGCAGCCTGAGTCGGATTTGCACCAACTAGTGAAAGAGTCATTCACCATTGAGAACTTTGGCGTTGTACCGTCTGCTTCTGCTGGCAAGCCAACAACCATGATCCGTGCTGAAAGTATCCTGAACGACACCACGGTTCGCGTTGGTGACCGGTATGAGACAGGCCTCCTCTGGAAGTCAGATCAGCCCAAGCTTCCGTCCAGCCAAGACATGGCTTTCAACCGTCTAATGGGCATAGAAAGAAAGATGGCTACGTCTCCAGAATTCGCAGCAGAGTATGCCCAGAAGATTGATGAGTACGTTCAGAAAGGCTACGCTCGTAAGCTAACACCAGCAGAGGCTGCCGAGCAAACCGCACATACCTGGTACTTACCACATTTCGCTGTGTTCAATCCGAACAAGCCCGGGAAGCTGCGTTTCGTATTTGACGCGGCCGCCAAAGCTAGAGGGATATCGCTAAATGACGCACTGCTCCCAGGCCCAGATTTGCTGAACCAGCTCGTGGGTGTCCTGATGAAGTTCCGCCAACGTGCTATTGCCTTTGCAGCTGACATCAAAGAGATGTTTCATCAAGTTCGGATACGCCTAGAAGACCAGCCAGCTCAGCGCTTCTTGTGGCGACAACCTGGTGAGACTGGCCCACCTGACACGTACGTCATGGAAGTCATGATCTTTGGCGCAGTGTCATCGCCATGCTCTGCGCAGTTCACGATGCGGCGCAATGCTGCAGAGCACCGCGAGGAATTCACTGCTGTAGCCGCAGCATGCGAGGAGAACTACTACATGGACGACTACCTGGACAGCGTCGACACTACCGACCAGGCGGTACAGCGTGTAGCCGATACAATTGAGATCCAGCAGCGAGGCGGGTTTACGATCCGCAACTGGATTAGCAACTGTAGCGAAGTGATGATGAGTGTGCCAGCTGATATGAGAGCAGCTGGAGTCGTTGACCTCAGCTCACAACTGCCTGAGGAAGCACTGGCGGATTGCACAGAAGATCACCGACGAATTCTGGAAGAGGTGGATCTTGGAATACCGGCCAGAACTCACCAGGCGGATGAAGTGGCAGGACGGCACACCGTCACTGGCTGTAGGTGATGTCGTGGTGGTCGTCGACAGCAACCAGCCACGAGGGCAGTGACCTCGGGGCCGACTAGAGGCTGTACACCCGGGCAGTGATGGCGTTGTGCGGGTGGCAGATGTGCGCACCAAGTCTGGACTGTACCGGCGCCCAGTCGTTAAGCTTGCCAAGCTGGACGTGCTGCGCTAACTTTGTTTGTGACTTGTAACAGGTCATCGGTTCCCTGTTACCAGGGGGGAGAATGTTACAGACACTTGCACATGAATTCACAATTATTGTATTTGCTCGTTCTAATTTATTTGTATTTTGTTTCTCTCACCTTTCACTATTCCCGAGTTGATCACGTACCTGCGTGCTCCACTCTGCTGCAGTTAGAGGAAGCTACTCTACATGCAGTCGAGTCGATTCTATTGTGTATCTGCATGTCTCCTTGACAATATCTGTCCAGCTCTAAAATAATTAGAATTAAATTCCTTCTCTCTTCTCTCTCGCTTCTTCTCTTCGATTTATTTATTTTCGCTTCTCTCATGCTCAGTTACTTTTGTTTTGTTTGTACTTTGTACGCTATCGCTCTATCTGCATGACGCGATGCAGTTTATGGATGCCGTCACTCCTTGGGGCGCCGTGCCTGCACCTTTGGGGCGCAGTGCACCGGATGCGCAGTGACCTCTACGATGTACGCCAGAGCTAGGCATCTTTTTGGCTGCATGTTTCCTTTTGCGCGGCCAGCTTTTCTGCTTGAGGCTACATGTACGCGTGTCGCGCTTTGCTTTTCAGAACTCTTTGAGATTCAGTTTTATTCCACTTTTGTGAAGAACAAGAACAAGTAATGGTTCGAAGGAAATCTTGTCTACCATGGCCACAGGGCCGCAACAAGAACTGTGCAACACCTCCACACGCGCCTGGACTGCAACATTTTTGCCGTGTATTCTCGCCAACTGTCCAAAATTGCAGGCAGCAATTCCTGGCACTTTTCCTTAGCCACCAGAGACGCATCGCTCTGAAGACTATTGAAAGACACTAGGATTATTTGGCATGGACGTATGGACTGTGTGCTGGCTGAGTGATCAAGTGAAGAGAGAAAGAACTCCTTGGTTTTGCATTGAAGCGCGAATTCACGACAATTCTCCTTCGCAAGAATGGACGCGCGGCGCGCGCGCACTGTTGTGCTGGTACACGAGAGACTGGCCTGCTTCTGACTAGTCGAGCCATGTGCCTCTCACCAGCTCGTCACTTGGCTTCCTGCACCCAAAGAGTAGAAGTAGGTCGTATACGCGTACCTCACACACACAGCCTTGTGAAGTAACTTGTGGTACCAACACAAAAAAATCAAAAAAAAACCCGCCAAGTTTCGCTTGTCGGAGGTAGTACATGTTTATTAGCAAGTCAGGAATGATATTGTTATGTCCACAGAGTCACTTTGTATCCTTTCTTGGCAAGACATGGATATTCTCTGGTGCTGTTGTTGGCAAACAGTCCAACTGTCATACGTCCTTCATCATTGTAATGGAAACGTACTGTCTCGAGTCAGGCGAGTCGAATCCTTGGGTGCCACGCAGCTCACACGGAGTGCACTCGTTCAGGGTGTATGCCATGACAATGGATATCACACGGCTTACAACGAAAAACATCGTTGTGGTACACCTGCAGTTGACTTTGGTATGCGTATTTGGGTTTTTGAATAAGATCTATAACAGAGGTGACCAGTGCCATGGGAGACCGGCTGCCCTTATTCGTAGATATTGGGCACACCAGTCCTCAGTCCTGAAGAACTGGTGCTGGCCTCGCCGAGCGGTTGATGCACCACACCGTGCCCACTGGCACATTGACACAAAAAAACACACTACACCACCCAGCAGACTCACCAAGTAAATGATAGAGTGCCGTGGCAGCAGTAGTCCGTGGTGTATGCTTGCTCGGCAAGAGGTGATGGAAGGAGATTGCGTCGCGATTATGCAAGGCATCCTCCAGCACACTGCAGTGTATGGGGAAATCGGTCACAGCAACACTTGTATAAATTTATCTTCCCAACAGTACTGTCAAAAGAGTGCCAGCACTGCATAGTTCAAAACAAAAGCCTGGTCATCATTAGCTTTTAAAACGCTCCAATTCTATGCTGCAAATTCAAAATTACCCCTGTGCACTGGAGGGAATTTGAAAGGTCATTCAGATTGCATGTAAATGTTCTTGCAGATTTTTGTCTGGCCGAGCATCTTTGCTTGACTCCTTGCATTAGGCTTTACCTGTGCAGATCCTTGAATGCAGCAATGCTCTTCAGGCGCTCGGGCCCTGTATGGAAGAGTGGTGACTCGGCCTCTATGTATTCCTCTGTTATGTACAGACGTACAAATGTACAGACAGACAGACAGACGGACGGACACAGATATATAGTTTGATGGATGATAGACAGACAGACAGACAGACATAGTGAGACAAACAGACAATCAGAGGGGCATACACAGATAGATAGACAGACGTTCAGACAGACGGCAGGCAGATAAAAAAAAAAGCAAAACACGCGTTTTGGACAAAGGGAACCCATGGCATAATGTTGTGAATTATCAAGCTGTAAATGAAGTTATACCAAGCACATGCGTTCAGCACACTATTTGAATTGCCTACCACTGCATTTGGAATAGATACACAGTTTGTTCTTATCACTAGAATCCCACTTTGCACACACTAAATCATCAGTTCCTGTTGCATTTCCTTCCGCATAAGTGCGGATGTGACCAGCGTTGCAAAAACCAACCACAAACTATGACAGTAAATGAAGAGGGGGGGGAGGAGACAGGGAGACAGAGAGAGACAGCGAGACAGAGAGCGACAGCGAGAGAGACAGAGACAGAGAGACAGAGACAAATAGAGACAAAGAGAGACAAAGAGAGACAAAGAGAGACACAGAGAGACAAAGAGAGACAGAGAAACAGAGAAAAAGAGAGAAAGACAAATAGAGAGAAAAATGCATTGAGGGACACAAAAAGAGATAGACACACACACACAAACACACACACTCACACACACGCACACACACACACACACACACACACACACACACACACACACACACACACACACAGAATGCGAGAACAATAATTATGCCGACAGACAAACGACAGAAAGGGGGAGATAATTGGAGATTTGGAGATAGAAAGTTCTATCCTACCTTGTATCTGGTGCAGAGGGGTTGCCATGGAGAAGCGAGTCCTGGCATGGTGACTTGCACTACGAGATAGAGAACTAGTGGGTCTTGATGTGCTCTCCTGGGGTGTGGCAATGTCCCTGTCCCTACAGTACGGTGTTGCAGAAATACAGCATAGAGTACAGCACCGTGATGTATTGTGCGTGCGTGTGTGTGTGTGTGTTTGTGTGTGTGTGTGTGTTTGTGTGTGTGTGTGCGTGTATTTGTGTGTGTGTGTGTGTGTGTGTGTGTGTGTGTGTGTGTGTGTGTGTATGTATGTGTATGTGTGTGTATGTGTGTGTGTGTGTGTGTGTGTGTGTGTGTGTGTGTGTGTGTGTGTGTGTGTGTGTGTGTGTGTGTGTGTGTGCGTGTATTTGTGTGTGTGTGACCTGTCAAGTTTGATGTGCAACAACTTGTCAAACACTCCTGCATGACGGAAGCACAGAGAGCTGCAACCTGTAAAACTCGTGAGCAATATGCGACGTCTGTTGCGTCAGAGTTACGATCCTGGAATCATGATGGCTGCGTTGAGGACAAATGGTCTGCCGTCAAATCTGCTATCGTCACCAGCGCTGAGAAGCATCTTGGCCGTCCACGTCGTCGCCAGCCTGATTGGTTTGAAGCGTGTGCTGATGTTCTTGCACCTATGCTGGATAGCCGCAATGCCTTACATCGCAAATGGCTCGCCTCTGGTTCTGACGCTGACAGGCGTCGCTTTGTCGAGGCTCGTGGCAAGTGCAGAACTGCCGTGCGTAACGCAAAGAGTGAGTGGATTGGACGTAAAGCTAATGTGGTTGAGTCAAGTCGGTTTAGTGGCAAGCACGCATGGTCTGCAATCCGTGATATACAGAAGTGCTATTCGGGATTATCACCTATCTCCATCCCATCCATCCGTGACAGTGACGGAGTTATCTGTAGCTCCCAGGAGGGGCAAGAGAAATGCTGGCTGCAGCATTTTGCCCGTCTATTGAACGTTCGCAGCACCTTCGATGCTACCATCTTTGACCACATTGAGCAGCGTGAAGTTGATGAGTCACTCGGCCAACTTCCCTCGCTAGAGGACCTCACTATGGCTATACGCCAGCTGTCTAATTGCAAGGCTCCTGGCTCATCTGGAATTGCACCTGAACTGCTTAAAGCTGGTGGTACACCATTGCTTGAGGCTCTGCTTGATGTTATTCACACTGCATGGACCAACGGAACGGTTCCCCAGGATTGGCGGGATGCCCAACTCGTCCCGATTCCCAAAAAGGGTGACTTGACCAACTGCAACAACTGGCGCGGCATTGCCCTCCTAGATGTCGCTGGCAAGGTTTGTGGCCGTCTCATTCAGGACCGTCTCCAACTTGTCGCGGAACAAGAACTTCCAGAATCCCAGTGTGGCTTTCGCCCTGGTCGCGGCTGCGCTGATGCCATCTTTTCCATTCGCCAGCTCATCGAGAAATCGTACGAGCACCGTCAGAAGCTGTTCTGTGTCTTCGTAGACCTGAAGAAAGCATATGATTCCGTACCACGCCAAGCACTCTGGCTAGCATTGGGGAGGCTAGGCATTCCTGAAGGGCTCCTCAATCTAATCCAATCGTTCCACGAGAGCATGCAGGCAGCTGTGCGCGTCGGTGCCAGCACTACCGAGCCGTTTGCGGTCAACAATGGCCTCCGTCAAGGCTGTGTGATGGCCCCAGTACTTTTTAATCTGTACTTCGGTGTTGTGCTTGAGCGGTGGGCACAAGTGATGCAGGACAGCGACCATCCACCTGGCATCCCCATCCAATTTAGCATCAATGGCAACCTTTTCTCAAAGCCCGCTCGCCAGTCTACTGCCGCAATCACCAACGACATTGAGTACGCAGATGACGCGGTCTTGCTCGCTGAAGACCGCCCTGGTGCTGAGAAGTGCCTTGAAACATTCTGCACGGTTGCCTCTTCCTTTGGCCTCTGCGTCAACGCTGCTAAAACGAAATTTCTCGTGGCAGGTAGCCAAGTCAACATGCCTGATAGAGCCGATATGAACGTCAACGGTGATACTGTGGAGCACGTTCCATCCTTCATTTATCTGGGGTCCGTCGTGACACCGGATGCCCGCTCCTCTACTGACGTCAGTCGCCGCATAGCTGAGGCTTCCAAAGCCTTTGGAGCTCTTCTTCCAGTCTTGTCGGATCGCTCGCTGTCATTAGTCAGTAAGCGAAAGCTATACGTGGCCTGTGTCTTGTCCATTTTGCTGTACGGCAGTGAGTGCTGGACGCCCTTGAAAGCTGATAGTAGACGTTTGGATGCCTTTCATCATCGCTGCATCCGCACAATATTAGCCATCCCTCGCAGTCAGCAGCAATCCGATCGCATCACGTCTGCGCAGTTACGTCGTCACTGGGGTGACCCAGTGCCACTCTCTGTTAAGATGCGCCATCGTCGTTTAGAGTGGCTTGGTCATGTGGCTCGGATGTCGGAGGACCGTGTCCCATTGCAGCTGTTGTTTGGTCGTTTGTTGGCTGCGCGCCCCTTCTGCGGTCCCAGGCGTAGGTGGAGAGACGTTGTGGCTACTGACACGAAGTCCATTCCAAACTGGTTTGATTGCGCACAAGACCGGTCAGCTTGGCGAGAGCAGGTTCTGGTTTTTCAGCCTCCTCGGGCAGTAGAGAAATCCGTACTCTGCTCATCTTGCAACCGGGCTTTCTCTCGTCCTCAAGACAAGGCACGGCACAAGTGTTTGGCTGAGCGCCAACTTCCCGTCCACCAACAGCGTGGTTCAGCACAGTGCGTCAGTTGCTGCCGATGGTTCCGTAGTAAGGGTGGGCTTGCAGTTCATCGCTGCCAGCCTGCACTCCCTGAACATGCAGATACGGCATTGACGGCGTCTCTCGCTAGTTGCTGCTTCCAGCATTGTCAACGCTGCAATCGCTGCTTCAAGTCCCGGGCTGGTTTTAACCGCCATAACTGCAACCGTGGAAAACGTCTTGCTGCAGCCGATAGGGAATCACTGCCGCTGATCTGCATGCATTGCCCGAAACGTTTCCGACGACAGCAAGATTTGACGAGGCACCAGAAGTCCTGCCAATGACGGTGCACTCCAAACTCTGGCCCCCTCCGGGGGTGACATTGCCCAATGGGCAGTCATGCTATAGTAGTAGTAGTAGTAGTGTGTGTGTGTGTGTGTGTGTATGTGTGTGTGTGTGTGTATTTGTGTGTGTGTGTGTGTGTGTGTGTGTGTGTGTGTGTGTGTGTGTGTGCATGCATGTGGTTGTGTGTGTGTGTGCGCGTGCTAGCGCGTGCGTGTGTGCGCGCATGCAAAGTGGTTGTGCGTTGGTGTTTTTGAGTGTGTACCAAGGGCGTTCAGTTAGGGCAAGTTTTACTGGTGCAGCGTTTGCGACATCAATGTATGGTAAAACAGGTGGCACTGATCCAGTGCTGCATAGCAGGTGCTGATCCCAGTTGTCATGACTCATCACAACGTTGAAGTAACGGACAAATTTCGTTTTCCCAAAAATCATATGGAAAATCTATTGTAGTAAAGTAAAAGCACCAAGAAACTACAAGTTACGCTATAATGTCCACTAACACCACCAGTTAAAATCTATTGTATTGTTGTAACTCGGTTATTCCCGCTGCTCTAAGCCCCTTGCCATCAGCACACTCCGTCAGTTGGCGACATGACTTCGTTGGGAAAAGACTAAAGTATATTATTTTAAAAGAAGGAGGCGGGGACACAACTGGACTGTCCGACATGACGGACTCCAGTCGAAGACTGCCTTTCCACACGACAGTAACATGCGCATCCACCAACATACAGAGAATAAAATGTACTGTTGTGGACATTGGCATCTGATGAGATGACCAGGGCCGGCGCCCTCACTACAACTACCTTTAGCGCGTACGTGCACTGTAGTTCATGTACACACTGTAAAATGGACCAGCAGTGCTCACGGCTGCAAGGCCAGCGCCCCGTGACCACTTGACTTCTCAACAGATTTCAATGTCCGCTGCAGTACTACAGCGATGATATTCATTAGCAGCTGGCTATACAGCAGTGTCAACATACCTATCAGATATGCCGCTGAGGTTCTCCAAGGAGACGTGTCCAACATTTGGAAAACTACCATGGGCAGTGTCTGCACAGACGCACAAACAGTCAGCAGGCAAAACAACCACACAACACTGAGTAAGGGTTAGTAGCGGAATCCAGGGCAACTGACCATTTCAGGATCCATGCCACACGCTAGTTCACTATACAGCCGAGTGTTGCGAAGTTACCCCAGCTTTCTCGGAGTTACCCCCAGTATGCAACGATCACGTGTCATGTAAAAAATGCATTCTTTTTTCATGGGGTATGCAGCAGTATGCATTAGTAGTGACGTAGTACATATCACCCAGTGACACTCACCCAGTGATGCGTTGGAATGACTGCGTGCAATAGAAAAGTCACTGCCTCCGAGTGAAACTGGCTCATCATGGTCCGGCAGAGTTTCGTGACGAGCAACTTCAATGGATCCCTGCGTTTCATCTGCTTCAGCCTACATTTCCAGGTGCATGTACATACAGAAAGAGAGACAGATGCATGCACACACACGCACGCACGCATGCACACACACACATACACCATTGGACGCCCATCGCCGGAGGCGATGATAGCGATGCTACAGCAGAAGCCATAGCAGCTTGTGCTGGGATTGCAGCATTCAACAGCTTGCAAGGCTGAATAATTGACCGCCACTATTCAGCCTGGTCTACACCACACAGCTATGAAGTGGCTTTTTCTGGCCAGTAAATCCCTACTTTTTGGTCTTTTTCATTTTTTTCACACACATCACACCACATACTCCGGCATGCACTGGCTGTTGGTAACCACCCAGGAGAATGAAAGAAAAGTCAGGAGGAGTCTGAGAAAGAGAAGAAAGACGTGTGCGACCATAATCGTCGGGAATCGAACCCGCAAGCTATCGATTGGAAATCGCTGCACATACCACTGCACCATATGGGACACACACGCACACACGCACGCACGCACGCACGCACACACACACACATATACACAAACACATGCGTGCACACATGCACATTGTTACTCCACTACTATCTTTCTGTCTCTTCCAACTAGCACACTCTAGCACACTCGTACATGCACCAAGACACAACTATAAACAAGGAATCAAGAGAGTGGAAATGGGACACCAATAACTTGTTCAAGTGCCGATAGTCTAACACCGGGCGCACGGGCGTAGATGTCTTGCGCGGCTGACTCACAGCCATCAACGGCAAGACACAGGCTGGGCGACCATGGGTGTCAGCGTCGTGCTTCACCGACCAGCCTCGCTCAATCCATTCATCCACAGCAGAGCAGAATGTGTCTCCTCTTCTGCGGTAATCGTCTTCTGTGGGTACTCGCTGATACCTGGACCAACACGTCCACTGGTTCTTCACCAGACTTCCACACCCATTTGACCTCCCAGCGCTTCTCAGCCGACATCCAACGCATCTCGCCGTCGTCAACCTTCAGGATGACATCATTGCCGTCAGTCTCTACTTGGACGTGACGAGACAACTTCGAAGGCGGGCGCGCCAGAGCTGCAGGCATTGGCGAGTCATCGGCGACTGGCTGGATAAGTTCATCGTTGTCAGCACTTGGGACCATACTGTCGGTCAGCTGATCCTCATACACTTGCACACATGTAGACTGTTCGGGAGGCGCCACAGCTGCTAATGCAACTGGCACAGGCGGGCAACTATCAGCAAGGCCTGGACTGGGCCCAATTACAACACGCACGAGCTGATCGTTCACATACTCGACAGACAGGCGCCCACACAAAGTCACCAGGTCAATGCCAATCAGTACGTCAGCGGCCACTACACACAGATCAGGCACAACTACAGCATTCAAGACCACTTCATGTATGCTGACCAGCCCGTCATGTTTCCAAAACGTGAGGGCCACTGTACCACAAGTCTTCATGGTGTTGCCATCCAGCGCTACGGTGCTGTCACTATTGTTTGGTGGCGTCACATCGAGGCCAAGGCGATGCAGGCTTCTGTTACTAACGTGTGAGTGGAGCCAGTGTCTATCATGGCTGCAGCACGCTCACTGTCACTCGCGTCAGGACCAGCACATTGAACAAACACACGAGGTAGTTTCGGGCACGATGGCGATGCTGATGCCAGGAGGCACACGTCCTTCGAGTGCACCGAGGCCCCAGCAACTTCGGAGCTAGCCTGTGTATCCAGCCACTTTTTGTCGTTGTTGTCATCGCATCGACAAGAGTTTTTTTTGTCTTTTATAAGGTTTTATTATTACTATTGATGTAGCTCTGAGCTACTGATTAGAGCAGGAAAAAACTGGTCTCTAGTCTAAGAAGAGACATGAAGAAGACTAGCGAAAAGCTGCTAGTAGAGCAAAAAAATATAAAGTCGGCAAGTTCTTGCTGGGAACGACGCTACATTCGGATCACTGGATCCATACTAGGCTCAAGCGATTCCTCAGGGCCTAGGGGTCAGCGCGAAGGCAGAAATAGGCATGCGGGTACAGCCAGAAATGGACGTGTGTACACATAGGAGAGCAAGGGAAGCGCAACGCGAGCTGTAGCAGCCAGAAACGGATACATGCGCAGAAAGGGGAGCACACCGCGACATGCACGGCAGCCAGAAACGGATACATGCGCAGAAAGGGGAGCACACCGCGATATGCACGGCAGCCAGAAACCGGTACATGCATACAACAGAGAGCAAGTGGAGCACACTGCTAGCTGCAGGACAGCCAGAAATGGCTGGGTGCATACAAAAGGGAATCGTTTGGTGCCAAAAAGGGGGCACATAAATGATCACGACTGGTGTTCGTGACACTTTTTCCTCAGCAAGCTTTTTTTCTTGACATGCTCTTTCTTGTCACAGAAGTGGCAGAACGGGTCCTTGCGCCGGTGCTCTTGCTTTGCACCATTCCCTGCTCGAGATAGCTTCGGGCAATGCCTTTTGAAGTGGCCCGGTTCTCCACAATGCTGGCAAAGCCGCGGTGATGGTGTGGCAACACTGTCATTCACAAATGTGGCAGCTGCGGACACTGCACCAACTCTGGTGCCGGTTGCTGATCACAGTGCCCCAATCCTGTCAAGGCATTCAGACACCTTCAGGTCCCTGCCTGCCATCGACAAACGGACATCCTTTGCAAACTCAATTGGTAGCATGGCCAACAGCTGCTCGATCACCACAGGATCTGTATCGCTGTCGCTCTTATGGCCAGCCAGCTCTAAAAACGGCACATATCTGCTACATATACGTCTGGACTTTCGTCCACTTTCAGCTGCCGCTGCGTATTAAACAAGCGGTAAGCCTAACTGCGGCTCACACTCTGGCACTCTGGCACTCTGCAAGCTAGTGAAAATTGCCGGCTGTGTGAGACTGCACAACCATGAGGGGAGCTTCCGGCACCCATCTTGCCCTGCCCCTAGGCCTGCCCATGCCTGTATATGGTACATGCTTACGATCCGCCTGAGCGCCAGAAGCCTCCCTGAGGCTATGTGGGGTGCGACCGATGTGCCTGTGTTGCTTTCGTGATCCGAATGCGAATGCAGCCTTGCCGTTCGCGTGCAAGGCTGCAAAAGAAAAAAAACTTGAGCCTGATTCACATTTCATTCTGCGTAGAGGAAACACATTGCTTAACCATCACGCTAAAAGGGCTAAACCAGATAAGTTCAGGTTAATTTTGGTAACGCGACCCGTTTTTCCTACCCGGAATGAGGTAAGAATCAGGGTTTAACCCTTTGTGGACGGACTGTACGAGTTTCGATCTAATAAGATCGAAACTTCGTAACTTCGTAACTCCATCGTTTCTTGAGCAAATTCCACAATCGAAGGGTCTACGTGGTAGCGGGAACTCCAAGCTGTCCAATGCAACAATCGCCGAAGAGTTACAATGTCGGACGCCAGAGTTACCGCACGCCGTATTCTTACCTCGGCAAATTCAAATTTTTGATCGATCGTTTCGCCATTTTGGGGGAAAATCCCTTTTCGTGTGCTCTTTGAGCGACTGAGCACATGATAATGACGTAGCCGGCTGAAGTTTGAATCGTCTCAAACAGATTTGAGCGTTCTGCGATGAAGGAGAGTGGAATGGCATAGATGGGACGAATTTGCTTGCATATCAGGCTTGGAGACAACTTTGCTGTGTTACCGCGCCTGATTTGTGGCGGCCGGATAATGGAGATTGGTACCCTGACGTAGCTCTCGCCAAGAGCTTTCCAATGAGCCCTTGATTGTGAAAATCAAGTGAAGGACACCAAAGGTATGACATGGAAAAGTTGAAAATTGTACTGACATTTTGTAATTCTGGTGCATACTGTACTAGTAATCCGTCCATAAAGGGTTAAAGTAGCAACAGAAGCGTAGTCGTCAGAACTTACCATGTCGTCAAAGGATACCGCCACCACGTTCGACAGGTCATATTGTCCTAAACGTGCAAGCCAAACACACACACACACACACACACACACACACACACACACACACACACACACACACACACACACATGCACATGCACATACACACATGTGAAGAAAGATTGTAGATAGTTGTTTGGAGGGCAAACGACATGGAACGGCGTGAAACGACACAGCGTTTAACCAACACCTACAAGCAAGTCTGGGGATATGTAGTCCATCTCCAATTTGTCTGCGTGTGGAGAGAGAGAGAGAGAGAGAGAGAGAGAGAGAGAGAGAGAGAGAGAGAGGGTGGGAGGGAGGGAGGGAGAGAGAGAGAGAGAGAGAGAGAGAGAGAGAGAGAGAGAGTAGTGCTTCACTTGCTCACCATAAGCAAACTTTATCCAATTCGCTCTCTTCTGAGAAGATGGTGGTGGCTGCAATGCCCAGAGTTTCCAGAACTCCAGCAAATCTCGTCCCCAGCCTACACCAAGCAACAAATCATCATCAAGAACCATTCCTGCTGTTATTATAAACACACATACACACAGATTGCTGCGTGTTTGACAAAATTGAGCATTCGCCTTCCAAATACGAGGTTGCGGGTTTGATTCCCGGTTAGAACGATGCTTAAGCTAGCCAAGTATCACTTCAAAGTATATGGCGCTGCCACCTTTTTCAATCCAAAAAAGTCACTCAAACTGCACTCTCGGAAACAAGACAGCCACTAGATTGTATTTGCTACAGTGGTTGCACTCAGCAACTGTGCATGACCCCCTCACTGTACTGATTGTTCTCCGATCTCTAGCAAGTTACAGGAACAGGTAGTGAATTTTCTGACAGTGCCAAATACACGAGGCGATTTGCCAGCACTGGGGAGATGGGCACACATACACTCAACCACGCATGCCCCCCCCCCCCCAAACACACACATGCACATTCGCGCACACACACACACACACACGCGCGCGCACATGCACACACACACGCACACACACACGCGCGCACATGCACACACACACACACATACATACGCACACAAAAGTCTTACTCTGCTCGGGGAGACCAGCTGGTCTGTTTATCATTTCTTGTGCCGAGGCGGTCCTGTGCGGGTGCTGGTCGAAGTCTGGTCGCTTAACAATCCTACCAGTGTCTAGTTGATTACGACGAAGCTCAGCATCGGTCAAACTTGTTCTTTGATTCTTTAGTGGTCCTGTGTTCACCCTCTTCTTCTTCTTGCCGATAGTCGCTTGTTGTATTGCGCTGAGGGTGAAGTCAATGGATGCGCTTTGTTCATCTTGATTGGCCAGGGAGAAGGGCTCGGCAGTTGTGGACATGTTCAAGTTGTCTTCAGTCTGCAGGCATGTTGTGTAAGACACTCACACACACATGCACACACATAGGCATACACACACATGCACACAAACACACACACAAACACACACACATGCACGCACACATACACACACATAACACAGTAGGGATCTAGATTTGTGGGGCAAAATCGTCCCTTTGCTGCTTCACCAGCATCAATCAGCCAAGTAGCTTGTGTAGTAAATGCCACATATACCCAGAAAGTAAAAATAAATGTCCACAACATCATCACCACATGCCAAGAGAACCTTTGGCGGGTACTTCGAAGTAGATAACAATGGAGCACACTCGCTACAAACTACACGTAGCTTTGTGTAGTCGTGAGCTCTGTTGTCACTGCCATACCACTGTTTTATTGTGGCATGCTTTAGGAAAAGCTGTCATTTACAGGGTAGTATACTGCAGGGCGCAATGCCAGTGGAGTGTGAGTAACACTGCATCAGCGAGGCGACTAGCGGCAACACAGACACATGGACAGGTGTGAAAAATGCAGACGGAGCAGAACCATTCCAAAGCCCTCTCTACAGTTGACGTTGCATGGCTCAAGACAATTTAGGGGTGAAGCGGTTCCTCTTTAAGGTAACAAACGGGTACCCGGCTTGAGGGGCCGGTTATCGGCTACCCTTTAGCAGCCATAGATGTTTTCCAAGAACATTGCCTTTGCTTATGATCGTAAGGCCACCCTTTCTTTTTTCGTTGTTTAACGTCCGCGCCCGCGTACCTTTTTGCCTCCGACCGGAAAAAAAAACAAGAAAGTAGTAGTACCAATAATATGCGAAGTTGTAAATACATGATTGTGTAGTTTCACAGTGTGCCGATCATGACCTTAAACTTATAATCTTGCCTCCCGGGCATGCCTTTGTCTTGTGTTCTTTTTCTTTTTTTGTTGGCTTTTAAATATCGTACGGTGTGTGTCCTAGTAAAAATCCAGATGTAATGAATTCATGACATGCTAACTCCATGCTATGTACCTGTTTTGTTGGATTCATCAGGCATGTGCTCCAATGTACCATCAAAGAGTGTTGTTCTATGCCTGCAAGTGCCGTTAGACCCAGATATATTGTATATATCACATGCTTTACTGGTCAAAATTGTACAGTCACCTACCTGTGCCTATATATTTGGCATGGTGCATCCATATGTAATTTGACCCCGCTTCCTATTTCACACCTTCGCGTACGCACATGCACCAGCGGTAACTGTTGCGTGCCTGTGCTGTTTACATGCCTACTCTGTTCCCCGTGTTCTCCACTTCTCCTTCTGTCTTCATCAAGTATAGTTTGTAATTCCTACCGGAGTGTGATGGTTGTGTTGGACTGAGAGAGTGTGCATGGGCATTTACCCTTAGTGCTGTTGCAGTAACGCAACACTTGGTGTCAGAACTGGTACCCCGAACCCTCGCCACCGGACCCGCTCGCCATGGCGAAATTTCAGCCCCCTGAAAGCTTCGACTTTTCCGCACCTGAGAATTGGCCCCGCTGGAAAAGCCGATTCACACGCTTCCAGATTGCTACCAAACTCTCTTCCGAATCCGCAGATGTCCAAATCTCCACTCTCATCTACTCTCTGGGCCCAACTGCGGATGATATCTTCCAGCGTGAGTTGTCCTTCGCCCAAGATTCCGACAAGGACGACTTCGATAAAGTGGTCGATGCTTTCGACAAGTACTTTGCACCTGCGGACAATGTTATCCACGAACGGACGCAGTTCGCTCGTCTCCGCCAGCTCCCCGGTGAGTCCGTAGCCACGTTCTCAAGCCGACTCCACTCTGTCGCGGCGAGATGCCGTTTCGACAAGCCGTCAGAACGGATCCGCGATCACCTCGTCGCCCACATGGCTGATTCTGAAGTGAGTAAGGCAATGCAGAAAAAGGACATAGGCTCCCTCACCCTCGCCGATGTTCTCAAGGAGGCCAAGGCAGCTGAGACCCTCGAAATCCAGCTAGCCACTCAGCGCTCCGCAGCCACTCAGCCCTCCGTCGCAGCCGCTGTCGCTCGCGGACATCACAAACAATCTCGTGGAACTGGCAGACCGAAGAATGCTCCCGCTGCATCTCGCCAGTCCGCGCCTAGCTACTCGACACGTGGCCCTCCAGCAACCTCTGCTCCGCGCGCTCCCTGCTCCGGCTGTGGCTCATCCAGTGGTCACTCGCGCCGCGAGTGTCCTGCTTGGTCCGTCGAGTGCCGTAAGTGCCAGCGTCGTGGTCACTTTGCCAAAGTGTGTCGTAGCTCTCGTCAAGTGGGCGCGAGCGAGCTGTCTGACCATCCGGTGAGTGATTCTGCTAGTGCTAGTGCGAGTTGTTTTATGGGTAGTGCTTCATCCGAGTCACAGGAACCCAGTATCTGTGTTTTGAGTTCAGTATCCATTCCTGACTCAACTGAACCCTGGCTTGTTGAGCTCCCTATCAATGGCCAGTCAGTGTTGTTCAAGCTGGACTCTGGCGCAGACTGCACACTCCTGTCACTGCCGTCCTACAATAGCCTCAGTCCTCAACCTAAGCTCACGCCGATCTCCACTAAGGTCACTGGACCTGACGGCCAACCTCTACCCATACACGGCGCATTTGTTGCTGCCAGCTCCTGGAAGGACCGCAACGTCACTTTCCGTGTTATTGTTGTTGATGGCCCCAGCAACCTCCTGAGCCGCAGTGTGTGCCAGGACCTGAACCTCCTGTCTTGCGATGTATCCGAGGCATCCGCAAGCCCTCCGTCCGCTCCTCCTGTCATTGGTCGCATGTCCGGTCCTGCAGCTACCATCGAGCTGCAAGACAATGCCCAACCATATCACTGCCAGACCGCACGACGAGTTCCCATCCACCTGCAAGCCAAGGTCAAGACCGAACTTGACCGGATGGTCCAGATGGGAGTCATCTCTCCAGTCACCGATCCGACCGACTGGTGTGCGCCCATGGTGCCCGTGCTCAAGAAGAATGGCTCCGTCCGCATCTGCGTGGATCTCAAACGCCTGAACCAGTCCGTGAAGCGTTCACACTTCACTCTGCCGACCATCGAAGACACCCTGGGCAAGCTGTCCGGAGCCAAGGTCTTCTCGTCGCTTGACACGGCGTCTGGGTTCTGGCAAGTGCCACTTGCTGACGACAGTGCGTCACTCACTACGTTCATGACACCGTTTGGCCGGTTTCACTTCAACCGTCTACCCTTTGGTATCACCAGTGCGCCAGAGGTTTTCCAGCGTCGCCTACTGGAAATCGTTGGGCACATTCCCAACGTGGTCGTCTTCATGGATGACATCCTCGTGTTCGGTGCCACTCTAGCTGAGCACGATGCTGCCCTCACTGCTGTCCACGCAGCTCTCGCTTCTGCAGGCGTACTCCTCAACCCCGCCAAGAGTCGCCTCCGTATGAAGTCCCTGACGTTCCTGGGTCACCTCATCGGTGCTGACGGTGTCCGCCCAGACCCAGCCAAGGTGTCTGCCATCCAAGCTCTGAAGTCACCGACCAATGTGCCCGAGTTACGCCGTGCTATGGGTATGTTCACGTTTCTGTCGAAGTTTGTGCCAGATATGGCCAATGTCAGTGCCCCGCTCCGTGCTCTACTGAAGGCCGACACCGCCTGGCAGTGGGACACCCAGCAAGAAACTGCCTTCTGTCGCCTCAAGGAACTCGCTACTACTGCTCCCTGCTTGGCACTGTTCTCGCCCGACCAGCCCGTCCGTATTAGTGCTGATGCCAGTAGCTACGGACTGGGTGCTGTCCTCCTGCAGCCTGATGGCTCCCGCTGGCGCCCTGTTGCCTATGCGTCCCGCTCTCTATCACCTACTGAGCAGCGCTATGCCCAGATTGAGAAAGAGTGTCTCGCCATCGTTTGGGCATGCGAGCATTTCCACCACTACATCTACGGCGGTCCTCAGTTCACAGTCGAGACTGACCACAAGCCTCTCGTGCCTCTCATCAACTCCGCTGATCTCGCCCGCTCTCCTCTGCGATGCCAGAGACTCCTGATGCGGCTGATGAGGTACAACCCAACCGCTATCCACGTGCCTGGCAAATCACTCGTCATTGCCGACACCCTATCCCGTGCTCCGCAAGAGTCCTCGCCTACTAGTGATCTTGCTGATGAAGTACAGCTGCATGTGTCTGCCGTCACATCGCATTGCTCCACCGACCCGCTCTTGGTCGACGTTCGGAACGCGACCAACGCTGATGCCGACATGTGTCGCCTCCGTGCCCTCATCCTCAACGGGTGGCCAGCCAAGCCCACCTCGGTCCCCGCTAGCCTCCGCCCGTACTTCGCTGTTCGCGATGAGCTCTCAACTGCTGATGGTCTCATATTCCGTGGCCAACGTGTCATCATCCCTGCATCCCAGCGCAACGCCACCCTTGCCAGTGCTCACGAGGGTCACCAAGGCGTTGGTAAGTGTCGTGCTCGTGCGCGTGCTGTGATGTGGTGGCCTGGTATGTCTACGGACATTGAGTCGTATGTGATGTCTTGTGCCACCTGTGCCAAGGCCCGTCCTAACCCAGCCGAGCCGCTCATCTCGTCCGAGTTCCCATCTCTTCCATGGTCAAAGATCGCGTGTGATCTGTGTGCAGCCAAAGGATCCACTTACCTAGTTGTTGTCGACTATTTCTCGCGCTACATCGAAGTCAAACAACTTACCACTACTACGTCTGCCGCTGTGATTGCCTGTCTCCACTCCGTGTTTTCTACCCATGGTATTCCACACACGCTAGTGTCTGATAACGGTCCACAATTTGCTAGTGCCAGCTTCCGTGCATTTGCTGCCGAGCTTGGGTTTGCCCATCGCACGTCAAGTCCTCGCTTCGCCCAAAGCAACGGCGCTGCAGAACGTGCCGTTCAGACAGCCAAGCAGCTCATCCTCAAGAATGATGACTTGCCTTCCGCTCTCTTGGCCTACCGGTCTACGCCATTGGCCAACGGTTATTCACCGTCACAGCTGTTGTTCGGCCGCCAAATCCGCTCCCGGCTACCAGGACCCCTCCCTGCTCCAGCGTGGCCTGATTTGACCGCCCTTGCCGACAAGGAAGCATCTTCCAGGTCTCGGCAGGCTGATCGCTACAATCAACGCCACCGTGCTCGACTGCTGCCTGTTCTCGCCCCTGGTGCTCCTGTGTATGTCCCCGATATGGACAAAACAGGACACGTCCAGAACCGCCTGTCCGAACGCTCTTACACGATCGACCTCACTCCTGGGTCATCTGTCCGCCGAAATCGTCGCCACATGCGTGCGTTGCCATCGACGCCATCCGCGTCAGCCAAACGCCCTGTTCCCTCCAGCTCATCCTCCTCCATTGAGCCCATGTACGAGGTTGACTACGGTGTTCCTGCTCCCGTCCGTGTTGCCCTGCAACCACCAGCTAACTCTACTCTGCCGCCTCTTCTGCCTGTGCCGCAGTCTCCTCGAGTTGCTAAGCCTCTGCCACCCGGTCGCAGACCACCATCCAGCCGTGTTCGCCATGCGCCGCAACGCTATGCTGCCAATACCTGAACACAGTAACACTGTTTACTCCATGTGTTCCAGTTGAACTATGACTGTGTTCCTTTCATGTTTTTTTTCTCTCTATCATTCTGAGTAATGCTCACGTTGGTACCCGCTCCAGAACTGCTATCGCTCCTTTTCCTCTCTCCTTTGCTCCACACTTTCTCGTGTCCCTCCGTTCGCATTTTTTTCGGGGGGAGATGTACAGTCACCTACCTGTGCCTATATATTTGGCATGGTGCATCCATATGTAATTTGACCCCGCTTCCTATTTCACACCTTCGCGTACGCACATGCACCAGCGGTAACTGTTGCGTGCCTGTGCTGTTTACATGCCTACTCTGTTCCCCGTGTTCTCCACTTCTCCTTCTGTCTTCATCAAGTATAGTTTGTAATTCCTACCGGAGTGTGATGGTTGTGTTGGACTGAGAGAGTGTGCATGGGCATTTACCCTTAGTGCTGTTGCAGTAACGCAACAAAAATGTTTGATTGGGGTTTCCAGTTTTTAGAATGGGCTTTTGTTTTTTTTCCGCCCTCCCGCGTACCTTTTCGCGAAAAAAAGGACGTTAAACAATGAATTAACAAAGGGTGGCCTAAGCGCAACACCTCTTTTACGGGCATTTTGAAAGCATTTCTAACACGAATCAATCGTCTTCTTCATGATAACAAAATTTCAAGAAAGGGAGAGAAGAGAGAGAGAGAGAGAGAGAGAGAGAGAGAGAGAGAGAGAGAGAGAGAGAGAGAGAGAGAGAGAGAGAGAGAGAGAGAGAGAGAAGGACACACGAGAGATTTTGGCATGACAGTTACTACAATAGCCTTCCGTATTTCGCGTCAGGACGACATGTAAAGTCATGCAAGTATACTACGCCGCGACAAGCACAGCATGTGCACTGCACTACAGTACTGTCGGGCGTCGAAGAACGGAGCGCCGAAGAACGGAGCGTCGATGAACGGAGCGCCGAAGAACGGCCAGGCTAGAATTTCATCAAGCACAGCATACCAATGTATACACGGTGCCTCAACTGCCCATAGGCTGTAGTACATGAAAATAAGAACAGTCTAGGCTAGAAGGCTATGGTACCATCGTAACACACGACTAATGGGTACTCAACAGCTAAACACATGGGTACCCGGATCAGCCGTTTTACCCATACCAAAATTGGTCTTCATGTCTAAGTGGTCCTGGCAGACATGTAAGTATCATGTCGAGATCTGGCGCTGTACAAATATGACTAATTTCTAACGATACCTAGTATTTTATCGCCGTGGTCATTAATTTGATGGCAGAATTGTGTGCCCAATACAAAACTTCCCTGGACCGATAGGCTAGCATAGGCTAGTGCTTACGAGTGTGTTGAGGTTGTCTATTTGCACTGGTGGAAGGTCATCAGGCTCATCCTGTAATAGCCTTGGCGAGAGATCTATATGTGTACACACACATACACACACACACGCGCGCGCACGCTCGCGCGCACATACACACACGTCATGTTGTGCCTTATTCTCTGTCATACCTCTCTGCAACTAATGCGAGAACTGGGAAACTTGTCCCCACATTCACACCCAAACAGCCAAACACGGTATTTTTACTACATGCAGTGCATGTAGTCGTAGTACAGGAAGTGCTGTGTTTTATCTAGTAGTGGTGTTTGCAGGACATCAACTGCATACTGGGGATCCGACTACCCATAGACACCTAGGGCACACTCCGACCGTTTACAGGATTTAGACTGCATACTGGACTCCTGGCTACCTATAGTGACCCGACTGCCTACGGAGTCCAACAGAGAATACAGTTGTGGAAAGTGTAGTCTAGTCTCATGAATAACATGTTCAAACTCAGTGTCGCCACAGTCCTGTGACTTAGAAAAACAGCAACATAGTTAACGTTGTGTTTTCTGTTACGCGGGCATGAGCCTCAGCACTCTAACACTGCATTTTCCAAGCCTGCAGACAGTGGGATTTCAGGTTCACTTCCGCACGTACCATTCCAATCAACTGGCTTGTCGGTGTCTCTGCATAAAGAGGAAAACATTGATAACACAAGGCTCAGTTACCATAGAGACAGGCAGATAGAACATTCAAGATAACTCCATATAAGGATGTCATCGCATCTATGGCGATGACAAGTGCTGCTACTGTGTGGTGCAATGCATCGGACCTTGTCCTCGGTGCAGCGTTTGAGATCGGTAGTGAAGTGGTCGATGATGGCACATGGATGCGCCAAGTCAGCAATCATTGTCACATCAACCTGGTGGAGTTGGATGCGGCTATTAAGGACGTCAAGCTTGCAGTGTCCTGGAATGTGCGTGATCTGCTCGTCTAGACTGACTCTAAGACAGTTGCAGCGTGGTTACACCAAGTGTTTACCAATGTCCAGCGCGTGAAGACAAAGGGCAGGGCGCGAAATAACGGTCGGACATCGGACAATTTCCGACCGTTTACGGTCAGTTTCCGGATGTTTTGTACACATCCGGACAAAGTGTCCGCGCACTTTTTTTGCAAAGTACAAAAAAGAAAAGGCACGTCAATCCATGAATCCTTTGTCTCATAGTCATTAGTGATGTCGTCTGGCAAGAGAAAGCCAAGCACCGCTGATGCGGGTGCTCCTCTTGGAAAGAAGCCCAGAGGAGTCAAGACGACCATTTGTGACAAGTGGGTCGCCAAGTATGATAGGGAGCTTTCAACTTCTGATTGGCTGAGCTATGAGCGCAGTCCTTCAGATCGTAGCGTTGTCGAAAATTTGAAGTGTAAGATGTGTTCCAGTTTTGTTGATAAAATTCGCAGCAGCAAGAATGTTTCTGACTCCTTCGTCGTGGTAACAGAGATTTCGATGGTATTAATTCTACACTGAACATTGTGTGATTTAATGTGAAAATTTGCATGTCCGGACATGTCCGGCCATTTTTGCAATTGGAAGGACATTGCGTCAGAGCACATTTTAATCCTTAGCGCATGCCCTGAAGGGCATGAATGATGTGCTCATCCAACGTCACCTCCAAGTCAATTGCCGATCTACTCGATATCACAGATGTCTGTGCCAGTGTCGAGTGGGTGCCTAATGCTGAAAACCACGCCGATGTTCTGACGCGTGTACCGGAGCAGTGGAACCAACGTGCTAAGATGTTGCAACAGAGTGCTGAGCCTACGCCTAATGTTGCTGTTAGCTCCCGGCTAAACGCAGTCCTCTCACACTTGCAGAACACAGGGTTTTATAGTATTGAATACGGAAGAAGTATTTAGACAAGAGAGTAGACAAGAGTGAGAAGACAATAATTGTCAGCCTGCGTTGTTGATCCTGATTAGCGTGCCGTCGCTGCACCAAGTGTCAACCTTCCGTATACACTTTGTTTGGCCAACATCACAACATCACAACATCACAACATCACAACATCACAACATCACAGGAGCCCAGGCTGTTGACGCTACAATATAGGCCGTCATCCGGGACCTTCAGCATGATCAGCCCCTACCTCCTGAGTACACGAATGTTCGAATTCAGTTACTGATTGATGATGGTGTGTGAAATCACCTTTTGATGGCATTGTGACTGTTCCAGTTGTGTCTTGCGTCCCGGGGCACGGAATGGCAGTAATTCCGTAACAACTTGATGCTGAAACCCGGGATGCAGAGGATGAGTCAGTTTGTCGTCGTCGTCAATAATTATTGTGAGCGTGCGGAGATGTGCTGAGAGAAGGAGCTGGTGTGAAGCAGAGACATGTGAACGGAGACTGGAGAGGTGGTGGTGGGCAGTCAGTAGATAGCCGGGGACTGGGGCCAGAGACGGCGGGATACCGCGAGGAGTGTGTGGCCGTGGCTCTCCAGAAGGCAGTGGATGTGGCTGGCATCGCCGACTGTGTGGCGTCCTTTGTATTCCATCTTGCTGTTGTCTTGCCTGCTGTGTTGTTTGAGTTTGGTTGTTGCGCTTCTCGTCATTGTGGGATCGGTTTTGTAGCTCTTCAGATTCATTCACCCTCGTATTGCCTCCTATATCTAGGCGGTGTTTGGGGTCAGCGGGTTACAACTGTGATTGTGAGTTGCATAATACAACTTTCAAATCTGATGTCGAAACGCACATCATTCCAGGTAATGTGACGTCATGCCGTCCCTGCTCATCACAGCTAGAGTATGGACAGTACAGTGGCCGTAGAACTAAAGTATTCCATTTATCTGTGTTTAGACTGTATCCCCCAAACTAGTTAGAACAGTGCATGAACATCGTAAGCCAAGGCAGTACGCTGACTTACAGGTTTTCTATTGGTCCAAAGTCGGCGTCAGCTAGCGTTGCCTGTAATGGAGTGTACGAAAAACGTAGAAATGAATGAAAGTTATCTTCCTCGCCAACCGCCTCCCATAACAAAACTCCAGTCGTTGTGTTCCTGAAAGTGACTATGTGCATGCATGTGCTAGGGCAGGCCGAAGAAGGGCCCAAACACTATTTCAAAAGTTTGGAAGCAGCCAGAATAGTTTGCATAAGGGATACCATTATCCAGTTTATCCAAACACTAAACGTTGGGTACAACGCATTCTTGAAGTGAATACTAGTATGGAAGCTAACTGAATGGTGCGTTGTTGAGTGACCGGGGCCAGGGGGAGAAGCCTACAACCATTTCCTTTACATTGGCGCCCAACGTTCGCTCGACGCAGGGTACTACCTCTGCAGCCCACGACACTGGGATCGTTTTGTTTTCACGGCCATGGAGATGGAAAGGCGTTCGCCAGCCTGGCCTGCAGGCCCCTTACCCGGTGAGTCGCTCCCAGTAGAGGGTTTGGTTGTTGTCGTATATTCGTTGTGGTCCCGTCGCCTCACTCAATAGAGCTTGAGCATCATGTCGACGTACTCGGGGTGGTGCCTCTTGGCAAGTTGCGCTTTATCTTTTCGCGCTATCGTTCCGATACCATCAGTCTTTGTGACGGCGATCCGGCTCTTGTGTCTTTCTGTTTTGGTTTTTGCAGTCAGTGTGCGTATATTTGCTGGGGTTTGTGCAGTTTTCTTGATTAGCCTTTCAGTGTGGTTGTGTAACTGTTTGGTTTGTAAGCTTGGTTCGGTTTTGAAGTTGCCACACACGTATTCCTGTGATGGTTTGTACCTGCTCGGTTATCATAGTTCATAGCATATTTCATGGCATGGGTTTTGTTTCGGTCGTGAGCGTCTCTATTTTTTTGTGTCCACTGGCGGGTCTCTCCAGTTCGCCGTGGTGGGCGTCCGATCATGGTGAGCCACGGCCTACCCGGTGGGCTGGAGGGATCCCTGGATTGTACTGGTTCACCTTGCGGGTGCTGCGGCCGTGGTTCATTTTTTTCTGGTGGGTAACTTGAAGGGTTTTGGCAGGCGGAGTCCCTGCGTCTTCAAGTCCCGGGTTTTTTCTCTATAATATTATTTGCGTATTGGTGACCAGTTGTTTGTTTTGTTCCTGCTGTCCTCACCTTGTACTGAACTGATGCTGCTTTACCTGTGTTTCTTTTTCGCCCTGCTTGGCGCACCATACTTGGAACAACAACCGACTGGCCAAGCCGTACAAGGTTGCCATACGCGGATTTCTCCAAGATTCTGCACGGCTTCCTATTCCAACTCGGATCACGCATCTCTGGCCACAACATTCCGATGTCTTATCGTTTGGTTGTGTTTCCCCTTGTTTCTTTTCTCTGATCTTTGTCCTTTGTTCTGAGAGTCGAGGTCGACTCTCGCCGGAGGGGAGGGCTATGTGACGAATTTGTAGTACGACTATGATTTACGCATGTCGTTGTATTTGGTTCTTGTCTTGTGGAGTCCAGTGTCTGATGTCATATATGGTCTAGGTGTACGCGCGAGTATGGTGTGATGTGTGACGTTTATGGTATGTGGTGCATGCAAGAGTACGCGTTGTCAGAGTGCGAGGATGTGCTTCCGTCTGTGTGAGAGTGACTGTCAAGTGAATGCTGTACATGCGCAGTACTAGTTTGGTCTGGGAATGAGAGTCGTGTGTGATTCGTCCGTGGTCTGGTTGTCTTGGTCTTGGTCATGTGTTCTGTACGTATTGGTCCCTGATTGATCGTCTCGATTTGTCGTCGCAATATTACTGCTTGTTCTTGTTGTTTTCTTGAAGTCTTTTCTGGAGTCTTTTCCCGGGAGTCTTTCCCGTCGTCGTTTTCTGTCTAGTCTTTTCGTCTTTCTCCTCCTGTGCCCTCGCCGTTTATTATTGAAGTGAATACTAGTATGGAAGCTAACTGAATGGTGCGTAGTTGAGTGACCGGGGCCAGGGGGAGAAGCCTACAACCATTTCCTTTACATACCCATGAGCAGAATATTCGAGCCGGGGATTTTCATTTAGCTTTTCTGATTGGCGCGCATGAGCGGTGTTGATACCGGTCGATTTAGCTGCCTCTGCCCCGCCTCCACTGCTTTGGCTGCCATCGTTATGTGCCTCCCTGCTATCTTTTCCTGGCGTTTGCACCATGATGGTTTGTGGCTCTCTTGTAAAACAGCCCTCCCACCCCATCTCATTCAATGGGAATCAAATAGGGTAAGAGTGTCTTCTTACCAGATGATCATCAACCGTTGGCTGCAGACTAGGCATGTTACCTGCCATCCGGTCTTCTTCTAATGCAGCATCTAACATAGACGACAAAGAGCGCACGAAAAAGCTAAACATAAATACGTTTGAGGGAGATGAAATTTGACGACGTATCAAGAGGTTTTTAAGATGAATGCATACTGTGATAAGATGTGCATTTGCTTAGCACGGACATTGTCCGGAGCACGGATGCATTCCTTCACTTTGAAGTACGGTCAGACCTCACTTAACCGCACGCATCCGTTTTCCACAACAATATCTGGATAGGTGAGGGAACCGGATAATCAAACACACATACTGTATGTATGCATGATATCGGTAACCAGCGATTTTCTTCCAATTGGCGAGGGATCCGGATAAAAGAGGACTGGAAAAGCGAGGTCTGACTGTACGTTTGGATAAGAAGTGCCTTGGATACTAAGTACACAGTTTCCTGTTCCCCATGGGGGTACTGTAAAACCGGAAAGTTTAGGCCCTCTGCAGACTACGTACATAGAACATCCAGTACAAAATCTCATAAAACCTAAAAGGCAACATTTTTCCAAGCCTGCATTCAGACTACACATTTTACATGCAATATACCGGCAACCTTTGACCCTACGCTATTGCGCAATGGACCTGGGATGTGTGAAAGCAGCCGGCAGTCGTACCCGGGCTCAAAGTCTGTACGTTTTGTAGGTCTGATCAGATTCCGTGTGGACAATGTCGAATGCAATGAACAAGTTTGTCCGTAAGGTGACCTCCCCTATCCACGCTGGCCGTGGAAGGGGTAACACACCCTGCAGCTTCGAGGATGATGCTCTTATAGAGCCAGCGACAATCCCAGTGAAGGCTAAGATGTGAGCGAGATGAAGCGAATGCTGGACATTTTCTAGGTGCAGCTTCGAACTGAGCTCAAGTTCCTTGTAACAGAAACTTTAGCCAGTCTAGTACGGAAATTGGATGACCTTCAGGCCACAGTAAGCGAGCAGCGTCTGGACATCAACCGCCTGTCAGCGGAGAATCGTCATCTCAAGACCGCTGGTGACAAATGTTCAGTGGATGTATCGAAAGTAGAGAATGGTGCCAGGACCGCCATTATAGAGGTGAAGGAGATGTTCGCAACCATCATTGCCCACCGTCCTGTCGCCATGGCCTCCTGCACCCCGCACTCTTTAACATATCTGTCAGAGCTCTCCCATCTCGTAAAATTACGAGCAAGGTTCGGAAGTTTGCAGACGACGTGTCCATGTACAAGGCAGGCACGAACTTGCACCAGCTCACTAACAATCTCTCTACTGACATTTCTGTCATCGGAGAGTATCTGCGTGACCAAGGTCTCACACTTAACGATTCCAAAACTCAATTCATCATCATTAGACAAAAACAAAAGCGTTCGCCCTAACATCTGGCTTTGACTCGGCGACATTCTCATCCCCCCAACGCCAGCAGTGAAGTATCTTGGCCTTACTTTTGATGAGCATATTAGTGAACTTGAGAAAAAATTGGGAGCAAAACTTGCCATGTTCCGCAAGATCAAGGACAACCTGACATCAACTGCGAGACAGACCTTCTACTGCTCATTTATCCAAGCACACCTTGAGAGTAACTGTTATTGTTCTAATGCGCTTGTGCACTGTCTTCACACCACAGAATATGACAGACTACAGTCCATTCATCGGAAAATGGCCCGCTGGCTTTTGAAAGTCGGATTTGGGCCGAATTGAGGATCAAAAACCCACTTTAAATTTCAAGAATCTGGGTTTTGGATCTGCTTCTCCATACATTGTGCCATGGCATACCTGTCCTAATTTTGTAAAACCTGGCTGAATTTCTATTTCCCTGTTCTTGGACTTTTCTGGCCTGAAATGTGGCAAGGAGTATTGCACGGGTCACACAATGCAGGATGTACAGTTGTTTTCACGACATCTAAAACTATGTGAGAGACACCAAAAAATTAGGGTGCCAGTTTCCAATGAATGGACTATAACTCCTATTGCTAACCGTGCTGTTGGGATTGTTTTCAGCTTCCTACTCTGATCTCTGATTGCTTCTACCTTCGTTCCGCCACTACACACACAGCTGCCCATACACATTCCCAGTCCATGGATTCACTTGCTCTGCCTAAATTAAGCAATCGTTGTGCCATAATCACGTTGAGCTTTCTGGCTTCTGGCCGCTGGAATTCTCTCCCAGCTGACATTCGCTCTTGCTCCTCATTTTCATTATTCCGCAAGTCTGTACGTCATCACATAGGGTACCCTGTAAAAAGACCTTTTAGGCCTGTGGGGATTGCCCTATTCAAAATATAAATAATAATATGGATAAAAAGGAGAGGGACAAACATAGTAGGAGTTATGACTAACTGTCCACCAACGTAACCAGATCATATACAGTCAGCGAGTGTGACAAAATGGCACAAAACTGACAAGGAGCACTGAGGCATTCAACGACCTGACACCTAGCTTCAACACTTCTCCGAGACGCAAACCAACAACCTTCCCCTATTGGAAGGCTCAGGTTCGGAAAGGTCCAGCTAGTTAGTCATAACTCGTACTAAGTTTGTCCCTCTCCTTTT